AATTATTGCGCTAGCTTACGTGGTTGCAGAGCTACCGGGATTTAAAAATAGTTATGCAAAACAGAGCGTGCCCGCTCTGACCGGCTTTAAAGGGTTAAGCTCTTTTAAACTCCCATCAGGACAGAAATATTTGAACGTAAGCCACTGTTCGTCTGTCTCGCAGCGACTCTCTTCTCTCGCTGTCAGGTGTCAGCCTCCGGGTCTGAAAAATGAAGCCAACGCGTACCTGCCAAAACACACAGCCCAGATTCTATTGACAGGTGGAGGCGACACAGGCGGCTGGAGTCCCTGAACTGGACCTCTGGGCCAGGTTTGTGCTGTTGGAGCCTTTTGAGGCACTTTTAATAACATCATGTGACCAATACCATGGCTGCTGTGAGGTCACTGTACTAACATTATTGTCCAAGACTTTTTGGGGCACAGTGAGATTCAATGATTTTATCTGGATGTTACTGAGCTCAGCATCCTCCAAATATGGTCAGTTCTGGCTCCAAAAAGTCAACATGACTGATTAATGTTAGGCTGCAGAAAATAATGGGAGATGTGACACTGTCCATCTTTTGTTTACAGTTTTTGGTTTGCATAAGCACTTGTCCCACATATAATCCCAAAACCACACAAATCACACACCAACTGTATGTGAGCCTTTACAGACCGACAGGCACGACCACCGTCACAGTGACTGATCTCACCACTGTTAATCTGTTCCTACCTGGGATACTCATGATTCCTGTAAATGATGTGCAAATAGTTCCTATTTACTTTATCGCCCACATTCACCAGAGGGACGTCCCCACTGAGCATTTCTGTCTGAGCGATCCCAGTGGACAGAAGAACAAAGACATAAATGTTCCCATCTCAGCAACGTAAGACATCACAGCAGACATGCCATCACTCACTGACTTCAACATGGCACACACACACACACACACACACACACACACACACTACATCCCATGAGTCAAAGGTCATGAGAGGGGCAAAGAAAGAAAGATGAGAGACGTCAGACAGAGAGAGGGACAAATGCTGTGTCCCAAAACGTCGGCCGCATCCTCCAGAGGCCGCATTTGAAGGCCGATTACGTCACAGCCAGGTGACAAAGGCTGTCCCAATTCGTCGACTCCTTCAAATGCGGCCGACAAATGCGTCCTTCATTTCCGCGAATTTGAAGGATGGGTCGGATGTGTCCTTCGTGGCCCACCATATCCCAGAATTCATAGCGCGGC